GGTCTGAATCCCGAGCCTCACTAAGAACTGACGTGTCGTCATAAACTGGCTCTTCATAATACTCTTGAGGATATTCATACCTTATTTCGTTTTTAAAATCCTCCATTTGCTTTTGAAGATTATCTTGCATATTCTTCACTGTGCCAGCTATAAAGTCAAGTGCTGCACTAATTTTATGATCCACAGTCGTGGCATTATCGGCACTAGTGGACGCGCCATTTTCATTTTCCACATGAACGCTACTCTGCGTCAGAGTTTGAATCTCTGTTAGAAATTGTGGTGAGTCACCACTTTCTTCTGACTTCCCGTCGGAAGATTTCTTGTGGCCGTGCGTACTTTTCTTAACTTTGGGTCTACTTTCGACCTTTTCAGCCATAATATTATAATATTTTTGAAGTTTTTGTTCCACTATTTTGCCACACGTGCCGTGCTCGCTCGACAAAAAACCGGAATTGAAGATGTGCGCAAGTGCGCAAATGCTCTCGCATAAAACGGGAATCTCGTATGACCTCATTTGTATAGAAACGAAATAGAACCTTAAATTATGTTACAATTACAACTTATAAAAGTTCTTATTAACTGTTAAATTGCTAAATGATTCATAAAGTCTTACCTCATTGCGCGTGCTCTAGTCAAAAAAGTAAAACGCTATCTCCGCCGATGTTGCATAACAGCTAAGACGGGCCAAACCTTAACAACTAGACTTCACCTAAGCGTCTGGCCCCGTATGCACAAAAAAATCCTTATCTTAAGTGAAAAATTCTCCTTAACTTCATAAGAAAATTCTTAGCTGAGGAAACCCCTTACGTAGTATGCACAAAGTACCTTAAGAATTCCCTAAGCCAAGAATTTTCTCAAATAATAGGAATTTACTCAACTCTGTAGGATTTCTCTTATGTGTTGAGCTATGTTTAGCCTGTGCATTGACCAATAGAATTACCTGTTACAATAGCTCACACTGGGGAATCCATGTTTGAAGGAATCCTTTACTTGGATAAGATAGGCCTATCAGTTATTATTAGAAGAGTTGAGATATCAATCGTGTAGGCCAAGAAGTTGTTACTTCTTGTGTAGGCCTAGTATTCTTCATACTCTGACAGAAAAAGAGGCATGTCATCCAATCCCCAGACCCAACACTAATAACAATAATCCAGTGACATAGGCCTAATTACATTTTAATCAAAAGGTTTTATCTCTCTTGGCTGATACATGTGCACCCATCTCCCCTATCGGCGACAATTCTGTAAAAAGGCCCCATAAAAAATAATAGTTTACCATCATTGTCACCTACAAGAAGTGATTCAGTAGGGCGTATTTTTTGCTCATACAAAAACACATTGAATTTAACCAACGATGCCCTCCGGACCGTCATTAGCCTACATACACTAAAACATGGAACGTGCCATGAGCAAAGCTAGTAGTAACATAAAATTGCAGTGAGAGGCACTCCTAGTACAGAGAGAGTCTGTTTTTGTGCATGAGGTGCACATTTGATGGGGAAAATTTACATTATAATTTTTTATATGAGCAGAAAAAGTAATGCGGCCGGGGATGATAAAGTAACATTTTTTCATGGCTATGGCCATTTACATGTCATCGACTTACATATTTTAAGTGTTATCTGTGATGAAAAATTGTGACATGTAATTCATAATATTAATATTAATTTTAATCATTAATTTCACTATTGACCCCACGTATGCACATATTAAATACCTATATTAATTGTATAAGCATTGATACATGAGATTCCATGTTATCAGGTGGTTTTCGGGGATTTCATAAGCAACATGTCATAAAAAGTGCCCACTCAAAAATTTTTACTTTAGATATCCCTTAACAGAACGACAAATTACAAATGTAACTGCCAGAAGATCCGTAATGAAAAGTATCCCCGCTCTATCAAAACGAAATCGCTGGTAAATCTCATGATCTGGGTAAAAATCCAAAGGATTTTCGCGGTCCCGAAATATTCTTGGTCTTGTGACTGCCCTTTCCAGTTCATCCAATTCTTCACGATAAACAGCAATAACCCAGCAGGCATAGTTGCATTGGATCAACGTTGAAAACAGGTTGATACATTGAATTGCCGTTGATCTACCTAAATTCAACGTAAAATCAACGTTGATCCAGCCACGTCAAAACACCGTCATAATGTGACGTTGACTCAACGTTGTATTTTGGTCATTGACACAACCTTGCAGACATGGAATATATTTTAAAATATTAATTGTTGAAAACGTGATACTTTGTTTATCAATACTGTAACTAACTTTATCAAAATAATCAAAAAAGTGTTAAAAGTAAAAGTGACAGTTGTTTTGTGTCTTTAGTGAACTAGTGAATTTTCTTAACTTGTTATTCAGAATTCCTTGCAAGGTCAGCTAACACTAGGATGAATAAAATAAGTTGCTGTAAATGCGATGGAGTGAATGAATAATGTTAACAGTTCTTGGTAAGCTGTAATACATAGACAGGTTGAGGTGACTGTGACTTTGTTATATATATATATATATATATATATATATATATATATATATATATATATTAATCTAAGCCTTGGAAATTTTAACTTAAAGGCCATATACTTTTATACCCTACCCTCAGGTCATTTCAATGTCTTTTCATGCAAGAGTGTTGTCTAATAACTGGGGTTGATACAATGTTGTTATCTGACGTTGATACAACGTTGTTATCTGAGGTTGAGTCAACTTTCAAATCCAATGTTTATCCAACGTCTTATCGACATTATGGTTCAACGTTGTTTTAATGTTAAAACAACATATTTTGCCCGCTGGGAATAAGAGCCATAGAGAAATAATGTTGCTGCACAGCTTTGACTATCACAAATGAATGCCACTGTGTTGTACAGTCACTGAATCTAAGGACAAAATTTCCACTTAAGAGACCCAATGAGGTACCTTAAAGTTAAGGAGATATTTGGGGAAATTCTCATCTTAAGATGCTTTATGCATACCACTTATGTTAAGGATGATCACTTAAGGAAATTCTTACAGAAATTCTTTAAAAAATACACTTAAGATGTTTTGTGCATACGGGGCCTGAGCCTTGGCTGCACTTTCAGAAGTGATGACGAACTAAAGCTTCAGAGTTCTTTTAAATGCTTCCGATAATAAAGATATGCGAAAGGGACTCGTTATTTTCTTATATATAAAATCAAAATAGCCAGTAGACTCGTACACAGCTTTCAAGAGTGTGGACAGGTTCGTAAGCCTACGTCTTCACAATATTACATGTATATATGCAAGCTGTGGCGATATCACCTCATTTACCGGCAGTGTCAATTCTTTACGATTTTTAAGTCTTGTTTGAAGGATGTCTTAAGAGATTTTTGAAGTGATAAAATGAAAAGATTCCCTGCATTGTTTGACTCGTACCTGCAGGGTTACCACTTAATATGGAATATTATTTTTTGGCGAGTAAATTTTCTACAAAATATTTATTTTCTCTCTAACTACTTTACATCCAAATCTGAGGTGTCACTCCCTGAGTAGCCAGGTGTGTTACCTAATTACCACACAACTCTCGAAACAATTGATGCATGCAGTTGCATGTTCTGTGGTCAGAAATGTGAGGGGTGGTCTTTTCGGCAATTTCTGCCCTTGTATAAAAACGCATGGGTTTGGTCAATCTTTGATGTGTTTAGAGAAGCAACAAAGGGATCGCACTGAAACTTGACAGGTACCTTATTGAAGATATGGTTCGACAGCTAAGCAACGCAGCTTACTATGGGATTCTTGCTCT